CATTGGAAAGGTAAGATATTCAGCTTTCATACGAGTGGTCGATGATGTAATTATCTTAAGGGGTTGTCCAGAAAAAATAATAAAAACTACTAAAAAAACGTTCTGCAGCTAATAGCAGGCAACTGGATGATAGAACTAAGATGTATGTAGGCTTGTTTGAAAGGTGAGTTATTCAGTTTTCATACTGGTGGTCGATGATGTAATTATCTTAAGGGGTTGTCGAGAAAAACTGTAAAAACGTGTAATTTACAAGTATTTGATTACTAACAACTACATTCAAATTATTTTTCAATTTAATTCAAATAATATTCTCTTACGCTATTTGCCAAAATACATAGAGATCATGTATTATTTCGTTCTACTTATATATAAGCTTTTAACCACTTTTAACTAAATTGTATATTTTTGCCATCTATTAGCGCTACTGATCAAGCTTGTAGTTCGAAAGTGACATCTTGCGTTCATTTGTTGTAACTATTTAAAAATTCAAATTATTTGCGTGCATTAAAAAAAAAAAAACAATGGCGATTAGAAACAATCGAAGTAACTTAGAAAACAATTGGTAGTTTGATTATTGTAACTATGGAAACTTTTAATCATAAATCACATATATCAAGAAAACTGAATAATTGGTGTTACCACAAATGCATAAATTGCTCTGGAATGTGATTAATCTGGAATTCGCGTGAATGCAAAAATAAAAATGTCAAGAGTGTAAATATATAATTAGGTGTGTGAATAATAATAATAGTCGATTGTTTTGGACCGTTATCAAAACTTCTATTTGTTTTCTGCGCGAATTTTATCAGGCGTATGGTTTTTTTTTTATGTCGGCTTTATTATGGTGAAACAATGGGGACATTATCGGAGCCCGACTAATCTAAGGTGGGTAAAATATAAGATCGAAGGATGATCTCGTCTAAAGTCGATTCGACGTTCGAACGAGTTGGGATCGCTCCAGTTTTTAATCGTCGAGGTGACGTTCTAATTGGCGATTCATCCAAAACATAAGAAAAAAGAGAAGAAGTAGATACTAAACGAGGAGATACAGATTTAGACGCGATTTCGACGGATCCAGAGTGCCACACACACACACACATCTCAGACGCGCAGTAAACAAAACAAAAAAGAAACATCAGAATCATGGACCCACAGGTAAGTCGACTACTTTGATCAACTAACATCACCTCATTTCTAAATGACAATTTTTGACTTAACCATGTTACGTCATGTGTTTTCTACGTTTTCACAACGAAAAATCTGTATCATCGCAGTAAACAACATTTAATTTACGTCTTTCAATCGTAAACGCGAATCAAATAACAGAAAACATTAAACAAATGCATATCACATTTTACTAGAAAACAAATTTTAATCAAAAAAAAAATACGTTTCCATGGTTAAGACTTAAGAAGAATAAAACAATATGTGTGTGTGTAACAGCCGTCAATGTCAAATTTGAAAACGTCAAAAGACTCAATGAAACTTTCATTTTTTCCGCCAACTTGATTACAAGTACGAATGACTAAGTCGAATTGTTTTACTGACTTAAGTATATTAAAATGTTTATTCTTCGATTGGATTCAGTGCGATCGTTGAAAATATAATTTAGAGTAATTGAGGAAACGACGATAAAGACTATCAAAACGGTTCCCTTTCCGATTGCACAACATTTCGTGTTACAGCGGGCGCAACTTTTCCCCGAGATTAGATAATGTAGTAGTTCGTTGATGGATGATTTGATGGGTGCAAGGCGCGAACGAACTAAAGCGTTCTCCGTCTGTACAGTAGCTTTATCAAGTAGATAAACCGTTGTTTTTTTTTTCGTATAAAATTTGTTGATTCAATTAAGAAACATACGCATTAAATTAAGAGGTTAACATATTTCATTAATGATGTTGCTATAGTAATCATTTGAAAATAACAATTTATAGGTGGTCGTTAAAAAACGATTTTACTTTCACCCAGACATTAATAGCTCAAGCGATAATAATGTTATTTACAATGTTCACCTTGAGCTTGCAAGTCTTGTACAAGTACTCGTTGGTTATTTATCGTACGACATTCTATGGTAGTCATGGAAATCGAATGTTTATCACATTTCAAACTATGGTAGTCATGGAAACAGTTAACAAATGCAAAATTTGTAGCAACTAAATGCTAATTGAAAAAAAAAAAAAGATTTTTTGTTAGTCTTCATTTGATGAGTTACGCAATCGATTATGGTAATGCGTAAATTGATGGCAATTGATGGATGGAAACGTGGTGGCGCGCGCTCGAGATGCACGCTCTCTCCAGAGAGAGGACAGATAAATAAGGATAATTTTGTCGTCGTCTGAGATAAATTGAACTGATTGGAGTTGTCGCGGCTTTAGGCGAGTGTGTGTGTGGTGGGGACCAATAAATACGGTCCAAATCTGGCTTACTGGATTTAGTGCTGCTGCAACTGTGAGTCTTGTAACGTACACAAGTGTTTGTTTGACCATCGAGGATGAGGCAAAAACAGGAAATCCGCTTCTGCGATCTGCAGCAACCACTCGACGATGAATACGAGATCTCCAATGAGGTAATCGTCGAAATAAATTACCAATAGTTGTAGTAGTAGTCATGACATCTTCGGTTGTTGCAATTGTTTCCCTTTTTGTTTGTTGTCAAATCATTTGTTACTGTTACTGTCAGTGTCAAAATTCGCTGTTGTTGAGGGTTGTTCCCGATGTGCACGAAGTGTAAAGGTTGCGGGCCGAAGTGCGGATGCGGCGGGCAACTGGTCCAGAGATGCAGAGTGCACGGAATTATACCGACGATTGCGGTAACGAGTTTCAATCAATTTCCCATTCAAAAAATTGAAATTAGAGTTCATTCAAGGTCACGCTCATTTCGTAGAGATGAGTGAACAAAATAGCAACGCTGCACCGACCCACTCTCTGTCATTTTTATTATTGTTTATTAATGTTCTTTTGTCCGTGATCTGAAACATTTGCAAGGTTGTTTCCGCTTCCCGTAGATATTATCTTTTTGTTGTTTTTTTTTTTGTTATGTTGCTCATTAATTTTACGTTCTTTTTTTTTTTCTTCAAATAAATTTAGAGGATAATGACATTTTCAATGACAGCTTTAATTGGGGATTTACGGAAACGCGCAGCTTACGTGATAATAACCGCACAACCAACAACTCCATTAACTTTTATGTTATATCAAATAGATTATAATTATTTATTTATTTTTTATAATTGATCATTAATATTTATATATAACATTACGGTAAACTTCTTCAAATTTAAATCATGAAAAACAATTGTAAAAAAAGCATTTTTTCACATTTTAGTGATTATAATAGATAGAATTAATCCAAAATATGCATATGAAAGCTGAATGTTTGAGGAATTTAGCAAGTATTGATATATTTCTGTGGTTTAATCCTTATGGCTATAATGTGCGTTCAAATTTGAAAAAAATTAAAAAAAGTAGTATTTTCACATTTCATTGATTTACTCGAAAACTATAATAGATAGAA